CGCGGGGCCCCAATTGAGGCGGAGGCTTGCGACGACGGCCTGCGGCGGGATGCCCCATCGCCTCCAGCGGCGGCGCGCCAGGCGCTGCGGCTCCGTCTCCATTTGCGCCCAGCATGGAGGCTCGACGACCCCCGCGTGCTGATCCAAGGTGAGAGGCGTGGACCTGGTGCCACGCAACGCGCGCAACTCGGGGCCAAGCTGGGGAAGGCTTCAAACAAATTCGCACGCTGCAGCAGATCCAGAAGCGAGGCCGCTGGGCGTCGACAAAGAGCTTGGTGCGCAACGAGAAGCACGGCTGGCTCGCCCTCCATATGTCCCAGCGCGCCGAGGCCCGGCAGCAGTGGTTCGGGATATGCGGGGAGTGCGTTTTCGGCGCCAGCACAGGTTCCTGCCCGCTGGCGCCGTAAACGAGGGTTTTTTTTCCTGAATGTGGTCTGGGCTCGCGGGGAAGTCGCCAGAACTGTTGGATGCGAGGGTGTCACTGCGGTGGATTGGGAGATTCGTTCGTCGCGTCGAGAGTTGCGACCTGGCGATGCCACAGCATGTCAGACACAACAAGCGAATGATTCGGCGAGCTGATAGGCGCTTGCTTAGCTCCGCCACACGCAAGCGCGCCAATCGCTCGCGATCGCAAGCTCATGATTCTCGACCGCTTGGACCGCGGAGCCCCTCCAGGTTTGCCGGCCAGCGAAGTAGGAAAAGGTGGGCGAAGGAAACGCCCGCCTTCGCTTTGCCCTCCAGATAATTCGGCGCCTCGTTCTTTTCGGCGTTCCCTGGGCTTGGGGGGATCCCCGACCAGTAGAATGTGGTTCACTCGTCAAGCTCCGATCGCAACGCAGCACCCTCTTATCAGCGAGGTCGCGCGTGATTCATGCATGCCGAGGACCCGCCTGGGGAAGAGGGCCCGCTTTTGTTCGGTTGTGCGCGCGCAACATTTAGGAAAGCTCGCGGCCATGCCGCGCGGCGGTCAGCATGGGCAGTTGTTCTCGGACGAGCCAGTTTCGCGCCCATTTGACCGGGGGGTGTGCTGGCGGCCAAAAGTGGATTACGAGCACCCAGCCTCGCCCCCCAAGCTAAGCACAAATAGTTTGCGCGATTCCTGACAGAAGCGGCTCGTACACAGAGACAGTCTTCATGGAACCAAATAAGGCTGCTCCTCGCGACTATGCTTCGAAGAGCTCGTTGCTATGGGATGGCTTGCGCAAGGTTTGACGCCGTCTGGGCTCCGAAGTGGCCCGCGCGCCCATGCCGCATTTCAGATAGCGACGCTGTTATTTTACACAAATTACCCACCCAGAGAAATAGGGCCCAGCCATGCTTGCGAGCGCGCGGTTTGAACGGGGCCTGCCTCGTCATGTTGCCCCCCCTAATATACTCGCAACCGTTTTTTCTCCTTCACCTCCGGCATCCCAAACGCGCCCAACTCGCATAATCTGCGAAAGTTCCCACGCATTCTAGGTTCCGAAGTGGCCCAGGCGCTCGCGCCGCAGCTTAGACAGCGCCCCTGCCAGCTTACAGTCGCGCCCTTGGCAGCGAGGCTGAGGTGGCACCTGCGAGCGGGCTAAACGGGGGCGCCGCTGTAGCGACTTGGCCAGCGTGCGCGAGCGGAAAACGGGGCACGGCGGGCGGCTGCAGGCTGCAGAGGCGGGGAAAACGAGTGGCCACTCAGGGGCGGACGGGTCTCATCCCTGCGCGAGCTGGCGCGGCCAGCCCCGCCGGCGTGGACCGCGGCAGCTGCCGGGCCGCGGCATTGGTGCACCCGCGGGCGCAGGCGGGGGCCCAAGTACGGCTGCCGCAGGTAAACACAACAGCGAAACCGTCGACGAAGAGCACGCGGTGCAGGGTGGACGGCGGGGGCCGCGCGTCGCCCAGGTCGGAGGCATGGCAAGGTGCGGCAAGAACGTGCGCGTCCAGGTTGGATCGCATCCAGCAAAATGCCGAGTCAGCGCATAGGGAACAGGCGGCAAGACCAGGCCCGGGATCCCGAACGTGTAGGCAAGCTGCAGGATGGATCCCAAATAGAATTAACTGGGGTTTCTAATGTTCCAGGATTATTGACCCGGGTTCATAATGTCCCCCCCAGAACTTTATGAACCTGGGTTTCCACGTTCTGGGAATATTGATTGGGGTTCATAATGTTCCCCCCGGATTATTATAAACCTTGGTTATAATGTTCTGGGGATATCGACCCCAAAAACCGATTAACCTGGGTTCATAATGTTCCAGGAATGTTGACTGGGGTTTACAGTGTCCCGGGAATAATAACCCGGTTTTCGTAATTCCGGAATGATCATAGTTATCATTTTTCCCCCAGCCCCCGGGTTCCCCAGCAGGTTTTTCATGTCGGAATATTGACCCCGGTTCATTATCTCCAGGAGATAATAAACCCGGAATCATAATGTTCCCGGAATATTGACCCCGGGTTACTAATTTTGAAAAGATAATGATTGGGCCTGGGGGGGGCGCTGTTTGAGAGTACGTTCCGGACTGAAATGAACCTTGGTCCATAATGTTGGAATATTAAATGTGGGTTGATTGTTCCGGAAAGATGATGATTCGGACGGGGGGGGGCTGAACCCGATCTGTTCACAGGACAATAATCCATAGGGTCTCATCTGAAGGAAACGAACCTATGTTTTCATTCTTTGATCATCGACCACGTTCGACGAGGATTTCGGAGGTGGCCTCGCAAGCTGCCAGCGGCGGCAGCCCCGCGAGCGCCATGGCGGCACGCGAAGGAAGGGGGAGAGGAGGGAGGAACAGGAGGCAGGGGGAGAGGGCGGGTAGAGGATCGCCCCGCCTGCAGGGAGGATCCCGCAGGCCGCTCGGCAGCGCCAGCGCCAGCGCCGGCGGCCAGCGGCGGTGGGTCCAGGGCGATCAACTTACACAGATTCCCCACCCAGAGAAATTGCGCTCAGCTGTTGAACTTACATGTTGGGAGACCTTGAATCGAGCTTGCAAAATCCGTCCAACGAGTGGTCGCTTAATCGGGCCCCTTCGTCGGAGCCCGAAATTGTTGCTCGGGGTTCGCTTACGCAGGTTGTTCTTGGGAGTTTTCTGGGGGACATTTTAGAGGTTCCCTTCAGGCACCTCTCGGGGCTCTCCGGGGCCCCTTTGAGGTTTCGGAGGCCCATCGAATTTTGGAACAAGTTGGGGTGTTTTTAATAATGCTGGCCTCTCGGGGGCGTTCTTGGTCGGCAAAGCGGGCCCTGTCGCTGCCCCCGCTGACGCACGCTGCCACCATATGAGACGTTCCAGAAATGGCTGCGCCTTCGCGGAACGAAGCAGTGACCATCTCCTCCTCGGGAGAAGCCGGCGACGAGGTCGCCTACGCCGGCGGAAGCTGGCGGAAGTAAAAGAATGCGTCCTTCGGGCGTTGCGCAATAGGGTGGGGCGATAGATGGAAGGGTGACTTCTCGTGCACTTCAGGCCCAAAGGCATGTGCATGTGCACCTCTTGTGCACCTCAGGGGGCCTAAAGGGGCCAAAGTAAGGACCCCCACAAAGGCACGAACACGAAAAGTGTACGTTTCTTCGCCGCCCCACTTACACTCGATTCGCAGAGTAAGGATGAGCAAGTTTCCAAGGTTACGCTTGCATCAATGCCCCTTTCGGTCCATCCTTGGCGATTTTCGCTGACCAATCCCGTTCAAAAATGACTACATGGCCCTCCAAGGCCGTTGCATCCTTACCGCGCATCCCTATTATGCGACTTGACTGTATCGCCCCCCCGCCCCCCCCCATTTCAGCAACGCACCAAACCCCCTAAGAGATGACAGTTTTTTGGGGTTCAAGGTTTCCGGAACCCGTCACACCTTCTGGGACCAGCCCCGACCCAAACCGATACCCCGACAATAGTGTTGCCCTCCGTTCCCGCCAGCCTCCTGGGCCCGGCCCCGTCCCCAACCCTGGCTGCCCCCAACCTGGTCCTGTGCTGAAGCAGTGGCGAGGCGTCGCGGCTCACCTGTAGGCCCACCAAAGAATGTTCTACGAACATTGCGGTTCGTGCATCGTGGCTCGGGTTGGGGAGGCGCCTTTCTCCAGCGCGGCGGCGCGAGGGCGCGACGATAACCGCGCATCTCGGGGCACGATGCGCGAAGCCAGGTGATCTGGCAGAGTGAACGAGGAGAGGGACCGGGAGTGGAAGTCAAACTCCAGGCGGGCCTTCTGCGACAGAGGCGGTGCCCCAGCCCCCAAGTGGTCACGTGGGCGGCAAAGTGGGAGCAAAAGAACTGCGTCAGAATCTGAGGCGACTTCGAGGGCCGGCGCCGATTGATCTCCTTCGGCGCCCTCCGACATTATGCTCTCATGTTCGGCTGGGCCCCAAAATGCCTGCACCCATGTGGAGTGTGTGGAGGGGCCCTGCTGGGAGCGCCCTGCCGGCAGACGTCTGCCAGCAGAGTTCTGTTATCAGAGCGTCGGCCGTGGAGCTCTGGTGGCTCCCAAGTTCACTGCCCTCCAGGGCCCAGCAGCGCAGCCTCCCAGGCCAGATTGCAGGGAGAACGTTCGATGATCAGAGTCTCGCGAGCGGAACCCCGCGGGCCGAGACGAGGGAGTACCATCAAACGCAGGGGCGAGTGGCATTGCAGCACGCGGGACTTCTCCTCCCGAGGCTCAGGGTGGTGATGATCAGCCGTGCACGGCGATTGTGCAGACTGTGTACGGACGCACTACGTCCAGCACATTCGCCATACATATTGCTGTCGAGACCACGCCATGGTGTGTCTCGGCGCCCTGGTCGATCAGTGAGCTTCCAGTGGTCGGTGCCTTTGCCATACCTGGGCATCCGATGGATCGATTTGTTCAATCCGCTTTCCCCGAGAGGGTTCGACCCCTGCCCCTGGGGTAGTGTTTCGTCCTGGATCGATATTCGATGGCCCTGGGGCCCGAAGCCAGTTCCCTGGAGGCCGATCTGCAGCAAAAGAGCGCCAGGATCTACGAGGATCTAGAAAACAGTCTGGCCGAAACCCTGGGACGGGCAACCACCGCAGCCGATCGGAGGACTGTGCACGTGCATGGACCCGCGGAGGGGTTCGACGAGGGCACCACGGCTGACATCGTTGAGGAGAGCCTTCGTGCCCCCCCACTGCCCTGCTGTCGCGGCACCGCGCGCGCGCGCCTGCGCCCTCCGCGCGCCCCTGCGCCCCTCGCTCGGCTCCTGCACTGTGGCCCGATGCCCCATCTGCTTCCTGCCCCAGACCTCGGGCGGACTGGTTTCTGTTCGATCCGGGAGTTGCTCCTCGCAGGGCCGGTTCTGCTGGGCCTCAGGGGCATCCGGAGTGGATGCGGGACGAAATTGTTCCCCATATTAGGGCAGGGCTCGAGGTCTCTGGGGGCCCCCAGGTTGGAGAAGACACTGTCAGATCCACCGACGCCGCTAGATCTAACAGAGCGCACTGAGATTATGGATGCTCTCCCGTGCCCCTGCTTAAGCCGCCCCCACAGTCAAGGATGAGCAGTGGAGGTACGCGAACAAGCGAGAGGCAGGAGAAGAAAGAAGTGGTGGGAGAGAAGATGAGAGAGCGGAAGTCGTAGGCTCCACAACTCTGCACCTTCCAGGAAGTAATCGCAAATAGTGGCAAGGAGCCTGGGAGACGTTGTCTGCTGCCGTCGGGTTCGCATGCACACTGCGGTTGGCTGGGCCAAAAGTATGATACGTTCATGATTACCAGCGGTGCTGGGCGCTGGCCCGCCAGTGCACCGTGCGACGCGATCATTTGTTGAAGGGGTGCGATCGGATGGAGCGATTGCCAGGCAGGTCGGCCATGGAAAGTATGTTGCCTCCTCCGGCGTCGTGTATAGCAGTCGCGTCTGAAGCATGCGGGACGCGCAGGTCAAGTGGCTCTCGCACATAAGTATGCCGAACGCTCTGAAACCGAAGCATTCCGACCAGAGAAAACATAGAAGCACCCCTGTTGTTCTTTCGTATCGATATCGGAAAGAGCGTGTTCTACCGCTGCTGGCGGAAAACCGGGGGGGGTCACTACCGGTTCGAACCCCTCCCCCCCCCCCCCCCCTCCTCCGGAAAACCGGGGGGGGTCACTACCGGTTCGAACCCCTCCCCCCCCCCCCCCCTGCTCTTCATGAAAAGGGGGGGGGGGTCACTACCGGTTCGAACCCCTCCCCCCCCCCCCCCCCTCCGGATCCGGAAAACCGGGGGGGGTCACTACCGGTTCGAACCCCCCCCCCTCGAAAACCGAGTGGGGGTGCGGACAGTGGTGGGGACGGTGTTGGTGGGGACAGTGGTGAGGGGATAGCGGGACAGTGGTGGGGACAGTGGGACAGTGGGACAGTGGTGGGGACGGTAGTGGTGGGGACAGTGGTGGGGACAATGGTGGGAACAGGGGGGGACAGTGGACAGTGGTGGTGACGGTGGTGGTGGGGACAGTGGTGTGGGGACAATGGGAATGAGGTGGAAACAGTGGGACAGTGGAGGGTACAATGGTGGTGGGGACAGTGGTGAAGGCGGTGGCGAGGACGGCGGTGGGACAATGGGACAGAGGTACAGTGGGGACAGTGGTGGGGACAGTGGGGACAGTGGTGGGAACAGTGGGACAGCTCAGTGGGACAGCGGAGGAGTCAGTGGGACAGTGGGGACAGTGGGGATAGTCGGGCAGTGGTTGGGGCCGTGGAGACAGTGGGGAGAGTGGAACCGTGGTGGGAACAGTTCTGGGGACAGCGGGGACAGTGCGACAGTGGTGGGGCCACTGGTGGGGACAGTAGGGGCGGTGGTGGAACCAGTGGGGACAGCGGTGGTGAGGACAGTGGTGCTGGGAACACCAGTGGGGGATGTGATGCGGACGGTGGTGGGGACCGGGAGTCGTTTGCTGGCGGTGAGTAGGGGGGGGGGGGGGGGGGGTCGAACCGGTAGTGAGGGGGGGGGGGGGGGGGGGGGGGGAGGGGTTTAGGGGTTTTCGAGCGGAGGGGGGGGGGGGGGGGGGCCGGGGGGGGGGGGGGGGGGAGGGGTTCCAGCAGGGGGGGGGGGATTTCGGAGGGGGGGGGGGGGGGGCGACCCCGGGTTCCGGAGGAAAAGGTTGGCAATTTTCCACAGTAAAGCGGCGGTGGATCACGCTCTCTCCGATATCGTGACCACCCCCCTTCCTCGTCGCCAAACCATCCGCGCAGTGTGGCTCGATGCTGCAATGCCTCTGGTCTCCCTCTCCTATGGCCCTATGCCTTGCGTTCGCCCCCCTGCCCCATAACCACCCTGCCCTCATACGCCCCCGCATCATTTCCCCTTCCATCGCCTCTCCTCTCCCAGCCCCCCTCCCCTTCTCTCTCCGTCATCCTGTCACTGCCATTTTTGTTTGCCTTCTATCGTGCCGTCATTTTTTTGGTTGGAGCTTCCCTAGAGGACCCCCAAGACAGCCCAAGAAGCAGCACCATTGAAAAGCAGATGTTTGTTCGACACGTGCGCTCAAAAGCCTGAGTTCCGTTCGAGACATTCACCAACACTGACTTCGGACGTGCCTTCGGATTTATGAAGCAACAGTTGGAAACAATAGTGTTTTCCAATATCACCGAGGATCACTTGTGTTCTGAAATTCCAAAACAGTGTAGAGAAGCAAACGTGTGTCGGCACGTTCGTCTTTGGTCAGATGTCCAAAGGGCAGGTGTTCAACATCATATTCGATTTGGAAAATGTGTTCCTCTTCACCGTATGAGTCCCGAGCCCGCCTACGTAAAGCTTGGGTTGCATTGGTTTGCTGAGATTTCTCTTCCGCGTCTGCTGGTATCCGCTGTTCTGTCGTCACTTCTCCTCCACTCGCCGTCGTCGGCAGTAGCGGGAGCTCCCCTTGGGGAACCAGGGGAGGGTTCAAGAGGCGTTTCTGTATTCTTTTTAAGGTACGCTCCGTGTGTCCATAGTTAATCCCTTGTGGTCGTTCGGGGTGCGTGTGCCCACAGTTGTCCCCTGTTAGTGTTTTGTGAGCTACCCTAGATGACATGTGATCTTGATGTTGTTGCAAGGTTTTAAACAGACCCTTCGATATCGCGTGTTTCCTGTTCATGGCAGAGAAGATTCTAAACAACATAGGTTTCACCTGAGACATCCGCACAACATAGAGATGACTGGTGATCGTCTGTACCACGCTACTGTGGTAGTCACGCCGTGGTGAGGTTAGTGGCCGCGCGCTCTTCTTTTTCTCTCTCCCTCCGGGAAACAATTTCACAACATCTAGATGTGTTCGACGGCGTTCCGTAGAAGTCATTGCTTCGGTATTCCCTAGCCATTTTGGCTCAAGCCGTTTTGGCTTTAGGAAGGTATCTGCGCATTTTGTCTCGCCGCAGCAGGTAGGAGGAATACAGACAGTGGGGGATGGCGCTCGCTTGCAGGATATTGTTATGCAGTTTCTTGTTGGCCGCGTGGTGCAGCCGTGCCCGTTCAGAGGGCGAGGCCGCTGCAGAGGACAAGGTCGTCGACGGCTTCTCTGAGGCAGACAGAGAGAAAATGAAGGACGGCGAGGAGAAGCACGAATTCCAGGCCGAGGTGAGCCGCCTCATGGATATCATCATCAACTCCCTGTACACCGACAAACAGGTGTTCCTGCGCGAGCTAATCTCCAATGCCGCCGACGCGCTCGAGAAAGCCCGGTTCCACAGCGTTCAGGACGACAGCTTCCTTGGTGAGGCCAAAGACTTGCAGGTCAAGATCGAAATGGATCCAGATGGCAAGACGCTCTCCATCCAGGATTCCGGCGTCGGCATGTCCAAGGCCGATTTGATCAACAATTTGGGCACTGTTGCCAAGTCAGGGACGACTAATTTCCTCGAAGCGATGGCCGAGGGGGCGGACACAAACCTCATCGGCCAGTTCGGTGTCGGTTTCTACTCTGCCTTCTTGGTGGCAGACAAGGTGTCGGTGACGTCCAAGTGCAACGACGACCCTGTGCAGCACGTCTGGGAGTCCAGCGCGGACGCCTCCTTTACAGTGGTTCCCGACCCCCGTGGGAACACGCTCGGTCGTGGGTCGCGTGTCACCCTGCACCTGAAGGAAGATGCCCACGACTACCTTTCGGAAAGCAAGCTTAAGGACGTGGCGAAGAAGTACTCCCAATTCATTCAGTTCCCCATTTACGTCAAAGTGAAAAAGGAGGTTGAGGCTGAGGCCGACGAGGACGATGATGAAGACGACGAGAATGACGAGGACGATGTCGAAACTAAGGACGATGAGGAGAAGGCAGAAGAGGAGAAGGAGGACAAGAAGCCTGAGAAGAAGACCGTGTATGAGTGGGAGCAGGTGAACACGCAGAAGGCCATCTGGCTTCGCAACAAGGAGGACGTCACCGAGGAGGAGTACTCTGAGTTCTACAAGAGCATCTCGAAGGACTATCTGGACCCGCTGGCGTACACCCACTTCAACGCCGAGGGAGAAATCGAGTTCAAGTCAATCCTGTACCTGCCCAAGAAAGCTCCTTTCGACATGATGGACAACTATCATCAGAAGAAGTCCGAGGTGAAACTGTTCGTTCGCCGCGTTCTGGTGGCGGAGAAGTTCGACGAGCTGCTGCCGAGGTACCTCAACTTTGTCCGTGGCGTCGTCGACTCCGACGACTTGCCGTTGAACGTGTCTCGCGAGCAGTTGCAGCAGAATAAGATCATGAAGGTGATCTCCAAAAAGTTGGTGCGCAAGGTACTCGAGCTAATGAAGAAGCTGTCGAAGGAGGAGGAGTCTGGCGACGATGAGGAAGAGGAAGGCGACGAGGAAGATAAGAAGGATGATGAGACAAAGCAGGAGAATAAGGATAATAAGGATGCCGAGGAGGGCACGTTTACGAAGTTTTACAAGGAGTTCAAGCAAAACTTGAAGATGGGTTGTTACGAGGACGACTCGAACCGCTCCAAGCTCTCCAAGTTGCTAAGGTTCTTGACAACCAAGTCCGAAGGTAAGGAGATCAGCCTGGACAAGTACCTGGACCGCATGCAGGAGAGCCAGGAAAGCATCTACTACATGTCTGGGGACTCAGAGGAGACGATGAAGAAGGCCCCTGCACTCCAGATCTTCAAGAAGAGGGATCTGGAGGTGCTCATGCTGTCTGACCACCTCGATGAGCCCTGCATCCAAAA